ACGCACACACGCACGCACCCGCCCGCCCACGCAGCAGCAGCACACGTGGCGCCCAGCGGCAACAGCAGCGGACCGCGGCGCGGGGGGTGGCAGGCGCTCGCCGCCGCCACAGCCACAGCCGCCGCCGCTGCTGCTGCTGCTCTCGCGCGGTCGATAAATTCACGTGGCGCGAAGAGAGAGGGGGAGGCGGGCGAGTGCGGACGCGGAGCTTCTCGCGGGGGAGCGGAAGCAGAACGCCCCGGCCCCGGCCCGGAACACTGTGTGCCGCAACAACCGTACAACCGCGCCACGACACACTTCTCGAAAATCATTCTCGTAAAGTATCCTACACACGAACAAACCGCGCTCGTGGGCCTGGCTTGCACCGGTTTTACATCTGATACCGTCGCCTTGTGCGATCAACGAAGCAGGTAGCAGCGGTGACAAGTTTACAATCGAGGCGCGGCAGACTCGTTAAGTTAGGTTTGCCCATGGGTCCCTAGTATTAGTACACTGCACCACAAGTTGTTTGTATATGCTACGAATGCAATGACAGTCAATATCTCATTATTGCCTTTCAGGCATTAAAATCTGCAAATTACAATCTTATTTTGTCATTTATAGGCAATGCTCCATTACGTGTGTACAAAAAAGGATGGTTCAATTCACCTTATATTCACATTTCTTTAGCTTCTATTCTCCCCGTAGCAGGTCACAGTTTGTAACTGTTTTTGTCGTAAAATAAATAAAAATATTTAATAGTATAATATTACATTGAATTTCGAACGTTTAAAATAACATGTAATTCTTTATGCAAAGTATAATGATTATTCAATCAAAATGATCACCTCAATATGAGCCAAAATTAGTAAAACTTTAAATGTAGCTATCTGCAATCCATAAACTGGAACAGAATGAAACATTCGTCAAGAACGCATGCGTCGATCAAACTATTGCAGTGTTTGTAGACATTGAAATTATATTTTTAAGAAAAACAAATGACTGAAAAGAATCGAATTACCTTTTTGAAGATATGTTTTTACACAACCTGTTCTTTAAAACCACTGACTGAACGATGTCACTAACAGTGACAGCTGCCATCTGTCAGAAGTCCATCACTTTCAACCGCGTTTGAAGTCTACAAATCAAATTCGTGCATCGAAATTTCTCTAAGAAAATTTAGCAATGATGAACGCGCGAGATAAGCTCTGCGGTCCTCCTTCGAACGGCTCGGGTCTACTGTGCAACGCGGTGCAGAACAGCGCGGCCCGGTGCCCGAACAGCCCACACTCGTGGCAGTGTTGGCGCCACTCCTCAAGGCAGAGGCGGCAGCAGCAGTGGCACCAACACGACTGCGCTCACCTACATTTCGGGGGAGTTTAGCAACCGCCTTCGGTTCTGAATCAAATATGATCTTCAGAGAGCACCGCCATAAACTTACCAATCTCAACGAAATTAAATTAGTGGGATAGGTCATTATTAAGGCAATCCATCAATATCCAAATATCAATAGAATTAAAAGCTACAGGTATACAATTAAACGTATGAAAACCAAACAAAAAATGAAATAATTCATATCAGTTTAAAAATGATAAATGCAAACAATCTCCATGAAGAATTTTGATAAACTGCTGAACTGTGTTGTTTCTCTGTCTTCGTGCTTCGTTGTTCGTAACCCATAAAGGAGTTTCAAAAATAAGTGATTTAGCACTATTCAGATTTACAGTTTTGACTTACGTGCATTGTTAACGACTACTTTCATTTTTACGTTTTATAATCCCTTCTTTTCCAAAATTGTTGGAACTTTCAAATCCTAAGACATATTAAAGTTCATTACATTCGTTTTGTTCTTCTGTCTCTAATTTTCAAAAAGCAATAATTAATAAATTTATTTTCAACAATGGACATCAAATCTTCCGTGTTCATTTATTCGTCATTACATATTCATTCATGAGCAAAGTCTTCGACTACGGATATCCTCACTCCATCACTGTAGCATATCTCGACAAAGAATGAGATTTGGTTTTGCGTTTCAACAGGCAATTTACAATGTGAAACAATTGCAGAATGTACAGTGTTTTCACTTATGGAAAATGTCAATTAATAATAGAAACGATTTCACCGAGTAGATAATCGCAATTATGGGTCGGAAACTTGTTAGTGGTTAAAACATTTCACTCAAACCCAATGGCCCCAACTCGTGTGTATGATGTTCCAAACCTCTGCAGTGTTTAATAAAAAGTCAAGCCTGTGGAGAGAGCATACATTGCAGATTGCAACTATTTTGTTATAAATCCTTTACGAAGTTGAATAAAAAGTATATATGTGACGTCAGATTTTCATCTTCAAAAACAATAAAAACACTATGTACACGTGAATTGAGCACTACGAGCATCGTAGCTTTATGTAGCCACAAAGTAAGAAAATGAATAAAAACCCGATTCCGTTTTCAAAAACAACAGAATAAACATTTTTCGACAGAAATTTAAGATTAACACTTGGGTACCCCAACGTATAAATAGCCTCGCTTAATGCTTGTACTACATTCTATTGTTTACTATTACGTAAATGTACAGAAACCTCTGTATCACCACACGATTGCACATTCTATTAATTATGAATGTCAAGGAAGTACTAAATGTCGTGTTTCAATTCCTATATTCTTGTGTTATAGTCCAAGAGTACTATTCTTGGGTCTTTTATGAAATCATCCACAACCATGTTATTATCTATTGCTTCCCTCTGAGATAGGATTATCTATTGCTTCCCGTATAGGATATATTTCACAGGTAACTAATTAGGAATTACTAATCTAGAACGATCAAATGGTTCCATCAATTCAGTAGAAATTCCTGATATATCGAGGGTCCATATGAACTTTGACGCAATACTGACTCATATATTTTTCTCGACTTTTTCTAGAGAAAACTAATTTTCCATTACATTCCTATGGTGTTTATTGTACTCGATCCATTTTGGGCTCTTCGGTACCGGGAGCAGAATGCCGAAACTCCTATAACAGAAAGAGAGTTCAGGGTGGGTTCCAACTCCACCCATCCCTTGCCCCAAGGAATTGTGACGGCACACGCCCCAACCACTGTGGTAATCCACAACTGCAACTACACATAGCTTCATAAAATTAGCACGTAATGTGTAATTGCGGGAAATCCCATTACGTGTAAGTTAAAGAATATCGAGGAAACGCAGAACCACGACAAAACTGAAATTTGGTCGATTCCCCACAAGGTCGAACATAGTAAAGGTGATTTTCGTGTGAACGCCCTTGTCCTGTCAATGGAATCCTCATTTTACTTGACCAATAAATAACGTCTTAGGAGTGCAGGGAAGTAAACGATGGCGGACAATCTTCAAGCGAGTCTTAACTAAGGAAATCAATAAAAATACTCTGTGGAGTCAGCGCCGATTTCACTATCAGTCTGTGTTAAGGCGCGAGATTCTTTATGCTATAACTTCAAATCCGTATTGAGGGAGAAGGCGGGCAAACCAAAATAGACTACGACAAAATAGACTTCGAACCCAATTTGCTTGTCCTTGTTGAAATACCCAGTCACGGTAACAAAATCTGCGAGGATGTCTCCAACCGAGGAAACTTTCCCAAGAATAAAGATTGGCGTGTTCCGCGATGTTATAAGAGTTCGGAATTATTTTCCATCTTCTGGGAATCACCTCTCACAATGAACAAGACGTACAAATGTTTTTGCTCCAATGTTGTTGCCAGTTTTCACATTATGCAATAAAAATCGAGACGTTATCATTAAATTGATATGGAAACCTCTTATTAGCTTTACAAGACTACGAACTAACCAACAGGAAGTAAAGTACGAACAAAATGTCAAAACAATTACAACGTGAAAACAACCACAGCCATATAATAAGACAATATTTCATTAATAAACAACGCAATCTATCCATAAGTTGTAACTGTAGTAAGTACATTTAAAATATATTAAGAATAAGTATAAAGTATACTACTTCAACAAACGAAATGAAATTTTATTTCAACTTCATACTACAATTCTTGTCTCGTCCAATTCTTAATTATCAAGCAAACTCTAATATTACATGGGACACGCATATTGAAGATATGTAAACAAAAAATTGATGTCTTTTCTCTTTCTGAATATTCAAGCAACATCGAAAACCGCTACTCAACAAAATGCGAGACACATACTTTCCAAAACATAAGTACATTCGTTTAATCGATAAGAGTAACGTTGCCGATAAGTAATTTCGATTCATCTATAATCAGCGAATTACATTATCAAGGGAGAAATACAAGTTTCTTACATACACTTATATACATCTCCAACCATAACAATATTACTACGAAATATTACTTTCAAACTATCTTTTACATACGACCACGCAAAACTGACGTCACTGCAACTTCTGAGTGTGTACCGAGTTCATTACGAAATGACATCTTCGGGAACGCTGGCGGCCCTTTCTTTGCTTCAACGAGCGATAATACAAATCATAACTTGTTAATCAGCGTCTTGCATGAAAGCAACTCAAATCTACAACCGTCGTACTCTTAAATGACCTACACGGCGTCCATATTGATTAGACAGGGCTTAATGATATCTAGGTCAACCTAATTTTAGCATCGATGGAAACGTCTACGAAATGTACACGACTGTTCCAGACAAGTAGAAGGGTTTACGTCTTTTCATGCAAGTTGCATAATAATTAGACAGTTCGATACTTTAATGTCACTTGAATTCTCGCACCACAACTCCATTATCACTTTAGGTCTCGTATTTTCGACGACATTGCAGTTGAGATAACTTCATAAAAGAATTATCTAGTCTTCTAAGATGTTTCCTTGTGCCTTCACGAAAACATGCACATCAAAACAGTTGTTCTTAGATTTTCCACACCTTTCTAATGTCAAAGAAAGTAAATTATGAACTTATAAATGTACTACTAAAATATATCACTTTCAAAATTACAAGCTTGCAATAAAATCATCATAATTTCTTAGATTTTGGCAAACTGACCTGATATAGACGATGGAACCATTAACGTTGAGTCTCTTCCAGCCAAATGGCACTGTAATTGTCGTTTGTGTTGGCACTGTTGGTAACTGAACTGCAGGAGTAATGGTCTGATTCACATGTGCTGCATTTACAGTAGGTGCAGGTAACTGTTGATTATTGTTCACTGTCATCGCCAACACAATGTTGCCTAATTGTTGTTGAGATAGAGATATGGCACCACTAGCAGTCCGCACTAATCCTGCTGCCTGTTGACCTGTGTGCTGAACATTCACATTGTTGTTCAACATCATCATTCCATTATTTATCGTGGCACTCCCTGAACTCTGCTGCACTACACTATTACTACCACTGGCTGCAAAATGGTGTTGATTGACAGATGCAGCAGCTGTGGTAGCAGCTTGGTGCGACACTGGTGCAGCAGATTGCAACAGCAATGCCATTGACCCACTACCATCGGGCTGGCTGTCAGCAGAACTTAAACTGCTACAACTAGATTCCGCTGTTTCTGATCGAACAGAATCACACCTTGGGAAGACAACAGAGCCACTAGAAGCTGCCGCTCCACCCCCATCACCCCCCATCACAGTCACAAAGTTTCCATCTCCACCCTGAGAAGTAAGGTAGTTACTTGCTGATAATGACACTGTTGAACTCGACGCATCACTGTGTGACACTGTACTCTTCTGCTCTTGCCCACTAAAGAAAGGCTGAGCACACGAAACAGTCACCCGAGTATGTGTTTGCTGAGGATTAATTGCATAGCCATTACACAGCTCCCCATTTACTCCTAACACTGGAGGTGTTTCCACATTTGGGCACACAGCCTGCTGCTGACCAATTGTGTGGCCTCCTAAATTCACTATGTTTTTCAGGGATGCTGCACTAAAACCTTGATTCAGAATTGTACCACTATGACCAGCATTGTTACTACTGTACATAAGATTATTAATTACATTTGGACTATGACAATGATGAAAACCATTTGTCTGAGAAACACCTGAAGCACTGGTTGCATAGAAGCCTGGTGGATGAGGATCAGCCACACTACCAACAAGGCCATTGTTTGAAAAGTCCTGAGTTTTAACTGGAGGCTTACAAATAGTTTTTCCAGGAACCACTAAGGGGGCCACAGACTGTGATGAATTATTAAAAACAGTTGTTTCACTTCCATTCTGTTGAGACTGGTGTTGATAGGAAGCAACATTTTGATGGTTGACAGCATAAGCTTGCGTGAAGTTATCATTGGAAACATACACTACCACATTTTGTACACTGGGAGGTTGCTGTTGTTGCTGCTGTTGATGTTGAATATGATGCTGCGGCGGCTCAGGCTTGCCAGCCATCGTCCAACAATGTAACCGGTAATGGAGCCACCACCATCACTGGAGCAGGACACAAACACTGGTGCACCACTACCCTCATTAGATTCTGAAAAATACACAATCATTCGTCAAGACAACAAGAAATTGAAATCGTACAGTAAAATTTGTAATGTAAACAGAAAACGCGAGCACGACACGTATGGCCAACTATGTTTACAATGTCAGAACGCCTATAATATTTTGTTTGTCACATTCCGTGATCACTGTCACGGGCTTATTCATCGAACTACAAACAATACGTGTGTCCTACTTCACGACAACAATACACGTATAGTATATCTCACTTTACCAGCTTACTATATGTTACTTCAAGTTAAAAATACAAACGCATAAATCATTATCTTACCTGCATGACGTATTTGATGCATATACATGAATAACACTGCAACAAATCCTTTTTGACATCACACTAAAACCAACACCTCGGCACTAACGGGCTATGCGAATAATCCACGGTTGTTTTTATACCAATGTCATCAACACAACTAGTAAACCATTCAACACCTGCACGATCTTACTTGTTTTCATTCGCCTACACAACTTCGCGGCACCAACAAACTAAACACTACGAACATTAAACTTTTAAATCTTCAAAATTTATCTTCTTCCACAAAAATATTCACTGAAAGAATTTACACCACTTACTACGCTTTCCCTCCACAATATTTTCGCATATGTGATGTCGGAAAAATATGGTTCCCTACCTTACTGTCCCAGAATTCCCCACGAATGCCCGACAGCTTTGCAGCGAACCATGATGCTACACTGGGAAACAAATGACGCACGATTGCGCGTCAACGTAATCTGACAATTGTGCTGCTATCTATGAGCAAAGTATACAAATGATAAGTGGTCATGTTTGTTTGTCCATTCTCTTAAAAAAATTAACCAGCAATTTCAATCTATTTCATATTCTGACAACTTTGACGAATGTTTCAAATATAAAAGTTGTTTTAAAATTAAATTTTATATTATAATTTAATAAATAGTATTCTTTCTCTGACTTTGACCCTATTACTGTTGTATTTGTAGTATAATAAACAAAACAATATTTGTTAATTAGACAAATAAAAATAAAATGTTATTCAATTAAATATTTAAAAGTGAAATTTTGTATATCTTTGAATTTAAAATCTTGTGTTCACATCCCACAAGGACAAACAAATTATTTGTTGTTTTTAATTAAAACCTTATTACAACAATAATACTGAATTATTTAAACTTCAAATTTTCCCTAAGCAACAGATAGCACAATTACCTACATGACTTTCTATTTATTATTAAAAGATTAAAACAATAAGTAATTTTGGAGGATATAGTACACATTAAACATTTTCTAATCAAAGTAATGTGTTCCATACTAAGTACATAATCATATTTTCTGAAATATAATTAAATTTCTGAATTTATTAACTACCTCCAGCCACTCTGTAAATGAGATAGTTCTTCATAAAATATTATTTAAAATGTATATTAACATTTTTGGTTTATTCAATGTCTTAAAAATTAAATTTATTATTGAAAAAAAAAAGTATGACTAAAATGAAACACATTTAAATTTGATGAATATTGATTTAGCAGTATGATACAATAGCACATATTTTGTTCACATTCTTAAATACCATTGATGTAGTTTGATTAACTTAATTTAGATGTTATCAAAAATTGTATTTCTTGTATATTCAAAATATTTTATTTGTATATCAAGGCAAAATATACATGCTTTCCATTAGAAGTATGTGTCTCAGGTTTTGAAAAAAAACGGCCAAAATTATTTGTAATGTGCCAATAATAGTTGTATTATTAAATGTTAGATTAGTATTAAAAGGTGGATAAATGTGATGGTCTTATGGACATTGAGGAGCTTAAGAAGGGCTCCTCATATTGGGCTAACGACAATCCTTTGCATTATCTAGAAATGAGATTTTATAAAGTAAACCATGTAAATTTTCAAAACATTATAAAGATAAAAATATCCTTTTATTCCGCTATATAATTTTTGCAGTAGACATACAAGTTTCATTCAATAGATTAAGTAATTTTGAAGGCAGAGAAGAATAAGGTTACTTTGAACTTAAATAAAAAAACTAACAATACTAAATACAAAATACAAAACATTGATCTACGTTCTATTTTAGAGCTATTGATTAAATTTGCAATAGTATATAACGGGTAAAACAAGTACTTTGAATTTCCAAGTTGCACAGTCTTAAATAAGTAAATTAAATAATTTTATTATAAACTCTTTCAATTGTTCACTTTTTTACTAACATAGTGTTTTGGGTAGTAGTTGTAATTATAAAAATATAAATATTCCATATCAGTCAGCTTAAACATTGTTTACTTTATTGAGGTTTTCTTAAAATGTCAATTATAAACATATTTAAGGTCAATTTTACCAAAATATTGCCTAAGGCAATTTCTTCAGTTTCTAATTGTATTTGTCTAAATCACAGTTTCTGGTAATATGTTCTGAGAATGCTTGGATAAACTGAGAAAGCACTTATATATATTTTCTTAATGACAAAAGATGTTTTTTCATATGAATGTACAGCATATAGGGGCAGCAGGCAGAGGGGAGGTCAGCTACATTACTGGGGCCCCAGGCCCCATTTTCCAGTGAATTTTATATTTACATTGACGTTTTATCTGTAAATAAATAAAACATTCTAGAAGGGGAAGAAAACTATTTAATGATACAGTTGAGAGGTCATCCATAAATTTAATGCTTAAGAGGATCCGAGGGGGTTTGAGGCAGGGCATTGCTGCATGCTGCATTATATAGGGGTAGGGGGTCATAGTTTCATGTTATGTAATGCTGATATTTATTTCAACTTTTCACCATTTGCTGAAATAATTCCTTTTGATCAGTCTTATATTAATACATTACAATATTAACTAATTAAATTTAAAAAATATAAATAACTTATAAGGTTTTAATGTATAAATTATTACAATAAAAAGAAATATTTTTTCATTAATTCATTGATTATATCTATTAGATTACAAAGAAAATGTTCAAAATAAATTTGCTGTATATTCTAGATTCCAATTAAATAGGGGCAGTAGACTTACAGCCCGACATCATCCATGATAGTGAGAGCATTGTTTGTCACATATTTTTTTGCTTGTGTCCCTTCTTCATTAAAAAATTGTACCCAATCTAAATGTTAGATGCAGTTCGAATAGCTAACTAATTGTGACCTTATATTATCGTAAATTATAATATAAGTCACAAATAAAATGAATACAACTGATTGTTAATGCTTTATAATTTCTTATTACTTATTGTAAATGGGGGGTTTTGTTGCATGTAGTAAATTCTTTTTAACTCAAATTACAAGGGACTGAAATAATTGATGCTCTTGATATAAAAATTCATGTTATCAGATTTTTTAATATATCCTGAATGGCTTTGGCGGGACCCAAATTTTGTTTGTTCGACAATGAATTTCATGTTACGCAAGTTTGTGCTAATGAGATTTTACTGTATTACATAATTATTTAGGTGGCGTTCAAGCACACTTTTCAGGTGCATTACAGAGGGACATGGGGGAATCAAAATACTATAAATTTGCATTATGTAATTTAGAGTCAGCTCCTGATATGTACAATTGATTTTACTTTGAGCTATTTACATGGTTGTCAAGTGGTTTGGAGAGCTTCTCTTTCAAATGCCATGTTCAGTCGTCCAAAGTATCGGCTTAAAAAGAGAAAATTCAGGAATAGATCAATTTACAGAAATACAAATTTTTATTACATAGGGCTATAGAGCCCTAATGCCCATTTTGAGCATACCTATCTACTGTTTTAAAGGTTGCTTGAGAGAAAGTTAGATTAATCATAGGTTTTATTGTGGTGGGATTCCTCATACAGTACCTACATTGATTTGTTCCATGCCAACATGTCCTTATGTATGTACAAATACAGTTATTTTCTTGCAAACAACTGAAAAACATAGGGGACATTCTTTGTCAAAACGGTCAACAAAATATCGAAGGTTCGGAAATCATGCAAATAATTATATTTTCAGATTCAGCATCATTTAAAAACAAGAAATCAATTTTTTTAATATATTTTAGGAACATAATTTTTTATCTAAAAATATTTAAACTTTTAAATGATTTTAATACATTTTTCGGTATTGTTGCGTTAAAAAATTCCAAGCTAATACAGTATACATAACGTTTTGTCTAATATTTTTTAACACTATCTATTGATGTCAAGCAACAGAAAAATTGCACAACAAAAATTTTTCATGGTGACTGCAAGGTTGTAGAGGGCATAAATGGGAAAAAAATCTTTAAAAATCGATTATAAATCTTTAAAAATCATCTTTTTTCAATTTACAAAAACCAAAATACTTCCAGATAGTTTTACTTTATGCGTACATAATTTCATCTTTGGTTTCTATTTTCCAAACTTCAAGGAATTTCATTATAAAATTTTGTTAAAAAGTTGTTTTTTATCTGCCAAAATTATTTGTTATTGGGAAAATGATAGGCCATTACAATTTTTTGCTAATATCTGAAGATTCAGCTTCCACCTCAATTTTACTTTACTTTATCTCTATCATCAAGTTTGTAAGAGTAGGAATAAGCCAAACAAAATTTCAACTTTTGAAATTTTTGGAAATTCCCAAATTTTCTCAAATTTTTGGAAATTTCACAATTTTTTTCTTCAGAAATGAAATATTTTCCATTGTTTTAGAGATATAGGCATTTTCTCCCAATTCTTTTATTAGTCATTAAAAATGTCAAAATTCAATGACCCCCACCAGTTAAATTTTGTTATTTCGTCATGTGCTAGATTTTTCTTAAAACCAGTGTTCTAGCATGAACTTTAATGGTAAAAATTGCAAAGTTTGTAAAATTTGCTTTATACCAGTGTATTTGCCATAAATTTCAGTATTAGCTGTGAATTTCCAAAAATTTCAAAAGTTGATGTTTTTCCAACTTTAGTTTTACTTTTTCATTCTTGAGATAAAGAAAACATTCCAGACAACCTAGACAACAATGGATTTTTTGAATTTCAATCTTAATCTGAATTTTATAAAATATTGCAGAAAGATTTTTACTGGAAATGGAAGTAGAAATTCTACAAGAAACAGATTTTAATGGAAGTTTAATAGATGTTACAGACCATTTTGCCACACTAATGAACTTCAAACCATTAAATGATGAAATATTATGAAAAAAAGTTAATGAAACTAAAACTAAAGTCATAAACTATAAGAAAGTAGATAGAAATATTGGGGTAGAAAACTGGAATACAGTATACCAAGAACCTAACATTGATAAGGCATTCGAAAATTTTATTACTATTGTAAAATCAGCAGCAAGCAAATTCGAAAAACAATTAAAAAGTAAATGCAAACATAAAGCAAAAAGACCTGGATTTCTAAAGGAATAATAAAATCTTGAAAACTAAAAATAATTTGTTTAAACAAATGAAACAAAATCTTAACAATAATACTTTAAAACAAAAATATAAAAAATATAGCAACTAACTAAGTATTTTATATTGAATTTTATATTGTATTTTATATAAAAGTTTATTTAGGGAAAATAATCTGTCAGACTTAAAACCATTTTATATTGAAAAAAACAATTTGTTAAAATCATGAATGGATGAAAAATAAAATTCTCAAACTTACTTCAATTAGGAGAAAGATATACAATTACATCAATGAGAAATAAATGTGTGTAATAGATGTAATACAGTGTATGTGAAAGTCTACAATGATT